TTTATATTTTAAATATTTAATTTATAAAATTAAAATAATTTGTTATTTAATAAATTATTAAATTTAAAGTTAAGTAATTTCTTTTGTTTCCAATATGTTAACATAGAAATATTTTTATAGCTTGCATACAAATCTGGAATATACTTTTTCTTTTTTGTAACATTAGAAAAAACTTATTCCAATTTCCCTTTTTTAAACCATTAACTTAAACGTTAATAGTATAAAATATTAATAATTCTAAGTTATTTTCTCAATATATTAGCTATAGTCTTATATATTTTGAAATTATGATTTATGGTGATAAATTCTATGTAATTTTCAAATGTATTTAGGTTCATAAATTAATCTTTTGTGAGTATTATTAGTAGCAGATATGACTATAATTTAAACAAATTATAATATATTACATTCGAGATCCGTGTTTGATCATTCTAATCTGTCGAGTTTGGGGCAATGTGTCCTCGTAAATATACATCGTCGTACAAGTGACCATATAATTCATCATCAGTCTTGTGTATGGCATGCCGAACATTACGTATGAACTCTCTTTTGGACATTTTGTTCTTAACATGTGGACTACACAGGTCGACTGACAACATAATGAGAGAGAAACACAATATGTATACCATATCTGAAAATAAAAATTCATATTAATTTCTTTATAATGCAGTTATATTAATTAAATGTATATCTTGTTTTTAAATAAGGATATATATTTAGAGAATTGATTATATATATTTTATATTAAAAATTTGTATAGCTTAAAATAACATACAGGATGAGTCAGTAGGAGAGGGGAGTACATTGCAAAATGACAGTATGAGTCATTGTAAGCAAAAAACTTTATATGAACATGGGTATTATTCTCAGTAGTTTCAGAGATACTGTTGTTTGAAAGTAGTCACATGCAACAATAATACCGAATGATAAATATTACATTCACGACAAATGCTCAAAAATTTAATCCAGAATCTCAATACACTTTACAACTTGTGTCTAAAAATGACTTGTCATTTCTGAGTTACTTGGCAATGAATGTATCCACTGATGAAATTTGCGTCTCATTGCAGCATCTCCTGGAACCAAATACTTGACATGCTGCTAGTTATATTGATGTAAGCCAAAGCAATTTTAAGTTCATTTGACTCAAATGTAAAGTGACTGAGGTTCAGGGTTAAATTTTTAAGCATTTGTTGTGAACATATTAACCTGCAATTCATTATTGTTGTATGAGAATAACTTCAAACAACTTTATCTCCAACTCATGTTCATATAAAGTTTTTTCTTACACTGACCCTTAGTATCATCTCCTAAGTTACTTCTCTCTCGTCTTGACTCATCCATATATTGGAAGAACTGTTAATTTCACATGATAACTACTATACTTTTGTTGTCTAAGTATCAGATAGCCATCAAATTTACAATGAGATACGCTATACCATTGCATTATTAAAAGAAAGCTGTATAGCAGCTCTATCATATTTTTATTTATTTCAAATTAATTAGTTTACAACAATGGGAAAATTTCAATATATGTTGTGTATATATATAAAAAATATGTGTATCTTACAATATTAATACTCATTGTATATAACAATAATCCATTAACAAAGAAATTTGTATATACAGTGGTACCTCAGGTTAAGAACGCCCCAGCATACGAAATTTTCAGGATACGACATGAAATTCGAACATATTTTTGCTCCACGATACGAACAAAAACTCACCATACGACGTTACATTAGTTCGCATTTTTCATTTGTTTTTCTTACTACAGTTATTTTTTTAATGTATTACTTGGCTTTAATTTGAGTATGTTTTTCGCGTTTGGAAGAATTATTT